GTGCGCGACATGCGGCCGGCCTCCTTGCCGATGCCCAGCTTCTCGATCCCGCTCGGGCCCAGCGCATTCTTGCCGGAAAACACCCAGAAGTGCCGACCTGCAGGGGGGTTGCACGGTGTCACAGACCCTCGTGGGGCTTTGTCCCCAGGATGGGCACTGGGGCCAGCCGGGCAGGTGTCACAGCACGAGGGAAGGACCAAGCTCCAGTGGGAGCAGGAGTGAAACTCACCAGCGAAGAAGAAGACCCTCTTGGTGAGCACGTCCTGGAAGGCGGCATCAATGACCGCCGGGAGCCCGGGCCAGGTGTCCGCGATGGAGAAGGCGCCCTGGAGGCCTGACTTCCAGAAGGACGAGCGGGTCCAGTATTTGCTGGGGGGAAGGTTGAGGTGCTTGAGGCAGCAGAACCCCTGGGCCCTCCTGTCCAAAAGGCCCTCGCCACCCCCAGCCCTGCGCTGCAGCAGCCAGGGTTGCTGCTCACCCGTTCTTGAAGAAGTGCAGCTCTCCGTTGATCTCTGTGATGGCATCGAAATTCTTCTCTGCGCAGGCATCCTGGCGACTGGGCTCAGCCGTGGGCTCTGGCGTCGTCTCCTCCTCCTCCTCCTCCTGCCCCTCAGTGGTGGAGGCGCTGCCAGCCTCGGTGGGCTGGGGCTCCTCGCTGGGCACGGGTGCGGGGGCAGTGGGCTCGGGACCAGAGCCGCGACCTGAGCCAACATCACCAGTGGTGTGAGGGATGTAGGGCTATAGCTGCACCTACAGCATAAGATGCCGTCACGAGGCATCTCTGCTGGCACTGCCCACCATTCCCATGGGGACTGGTGGCTCTGCTGGTGGGGCGGCACCGGGCACTCACCATAGAGGTACTGGATGCCCTTGATGTCGTCAGGGTGCAGCTGGAAGTCCTCCACGTAGCTGTACATGGGGTACATGAGGGCCTCGCGCACGCTGGAGTGGTCCAGCCCCAGCGCGTGGCCGAACTCATGGGCAGCCACCAGGAAGATGCTGTAACCTGCGAGCAGGCGCCGGGCTCAGCAACGGGC